ATGAAAACCAATTTCACAGGATAAGTAGAACAATTCTTGCTTTAGTAGAAAGATTATTTTTCTAAAATTGTTTTCTATGGGTTTTTTTTGTTTTGTTGTTGCTGTTGTTTTTTGGGTTTGTTTTGTCTCAGTCATGATGAATGAGACTTAACAGTGATACAATGACAAGGTCAGGAATTTTGTCAGGCTGTCTTTGACAAGGCTTCTCAAATAGGAATGGGCAAAACATGATCAATAAAAATATAACAGTGTGTTCTGAGAGTAGAGCAGCCTCATTAACTAGGTTATTCATCTTCATAGATAGCCAGCAATTACTTACCTTCTCTGTGTCTCACTGTCCTAATCTAGAAAATGAATGTAGAAGTGTTAGCCAACACATGCAAGTGTGGGGAGAATGAAATAAGACAGTACATAGAAAGCACTTAGTACCTAGCCTGGCACATGACAATCAATGGGGCCTCCTGTGATCATTGTTTCAGGTTAAAGTGAAGACCATCTCCTTCAGTGATCAACTGAGATGGCGTAAAGTTGTGTCGACCTAATTAAACTGAGCAGTTACATGCGTACAGCCTAATGGATGGCCATTCTCTTTTGAGTCATTGTATTAAGATTAGGAAATACTCAGTCTTGGATCAAGAATGTTTTTTCTTTTAATCTGAAAAATTCTGAGTTTACAAATGGGTGACTAAAAAGCAAGTTCTTTCTGGTAGTTTCTGGTTAGTTTTTGTTTTAAACAATAAATGCAAATGTTCTCAAACTCTGTCATGACCATAACACTTCTAAAGAAACAATGATGAAATCATTTTAGTAATGTTTTTAGATTTTTTACATTTTTTAAAAATTTTTCTCTTTTTTTAGAATAATTTTATTACTGTCTTTGTATAAGGAGTCCTCTGAAAAAACCTAGTTTACAAATGCTCTAAGTTTGCTGTGTAAGTTGTTGAGGCTTAACTCAATTAATTGTTGAACATTTACCAGAAATGAGTATGATTTGAGTTTTATTTAATATCTCACTATGTTGCTGTGTACCGTCAACTTGGAACCAACCCATTAGCTGGCTCTCTGGAGGATTTTCAGAGCAGTAATTGCGTAGGAGGAGAGTGCCTGTCCTTCTCCTGCAGAACAATTGGTGTACTTGAACCACATGCCTTCAGGATTGCAGCACAGACTCTTACCACTAGGCCACCAGAGTTCCCTATCACATTAGCATTATTATAACTAGAACAGGATTTTGAAAAAGTTATTTATTTTGTAACTGTTATTGAAAATAGAAAAGCATAAACTCAGAACACATAGAAACTCTACAGGTTCTACACTTGCAGTTTGGTGACGTTGATTGCATTCTTTGAGTTGTACAAATATTCTCATCATCCTTTTCCAAGTTGTTCCTCTCCTGTTACTAGAAACCTACTGCCTCCTAAAGTTCCTATCTATTATTCAAGTCATTTTGATCCTATATGGGAAGTTGCTTTTTATTTTAAGCTTTTGGTTTGGATTTAAGAGAAAAGTTTATAGAGAAAATTGGTCTTTCATCATATAGACACTTCTTAAAAGAACATAATTCTCAAAGCAAACCTTTTATTACTAGTTAAACTGTTATTTGGTTTTAATAATTCAACACTTATCTTTCATTTAAGGTTTAAAGATTGTCTCAGAGCAATGTCTCAGGGGTTCATTCAGACTCAGTGGCTTCAGAAAGTCTGCAATTAAGAAGAACTTGAAACTATCCTGAATTTTTCACTTTTTGTTAGGATCCTGCTATAGAATCTTGGATCAAAATTTCAGAAATTAAGTGTCCATTCAGAATACTCATTTTCTATGGATTCAACTCATCCAATGGTGGTGACTGAGTCATTAAGAATCTTTTTAAGAGAAGGAAAAGGCACAATTCTATGTTATTGCAGTTATTATGATAGAAAGTAGATCCTCCAAAGAGGAGGTATGCTTGGATCGGTTTTGAACTTATTCTTGCATTTCTTTTAGATGATGAGGCTATTAGTTGACTGAAATGACCTTAAGTATGATGGCAAGGTTTAGTTAGCGTGCCACTGACATGAAATGAGTTAGTGGCAGAGACAGCTTTTCCTCAAAATCCTTACTTTCATTGAAATAATTTCTGGGAGAAGGTTGTTCTACTCAGGAGCTAAATTTCCCAGCCCTCCTTATATTCAGGTGTGGCCAAGTGACTAGCCCTTTTAAATGAAATGTGAGAAGTGAGTGCACCATTTGTAGGCTTACATATTAAATAATGAATGAGGCCTTTCTATTCTTTCTCCAGCTTCAGGCTACATGGAGGGGGTTCAGTGATTCTAGGAGATGACAGAGCCACTGGGTAGAAGCCAGGGTCCCTGGGTCACCACATGGAGGGGAGCCATCCGGTAGCACCTGCATCCAACTGCCAAATGTGTGAGAAACACAATATACATGCTAGAAACATTTCTGTTCTTTATCTAAAATCCAAACTTAGAATATTTTATCTGGTAACTCTATTGCAAGGTCTTGATATTAAGAAGTATTATGATTATCACAGGAATCCAGAATTAAGGTTGCATAGTGGAGTGCATTTGGGGGAGTGGGGGTGGAGGATTGTATACCAATGAAGAAGTTTATCTTTTGCTTTTCAAACAGAGGAATGAACTGGTGGATGGTGTAGAGAAAAAAGTACAGCAATAAATGAATGGAAATCCAAAATCTCTGGAAATGTTCATTAAAATTAATAAAAGAAAATAAAAAAGAAAATTGTGAAAAAATGTGTGAGAAAGACATTTTATGGCTTTAAACACTAAAGCTTTGGGTTTCATTGTTGCATTAGCCATTATTTTCATAACTAAATTAGGATTCTGTCTTTCAGAGGTGGCCTAGTATTAAGGAGTTGCACTGCCAACCAAACAGCACATAGTTCAAATCCACCAGAAACTTTAAGGAACAAAGATGGAAAATCTCCTCCCATGTGATTTATAGACTCTGAAAATCTGCTAGAGAGACAGCTATGTGTCAATTCAGACTCAACAGCTTAAAACAACAAAAATCTTTCTGACTAAAACACTGAAGCTTATTGCCATTGAGTTGGAACTGACTCATAGCTCACTCTCCAGTGGGTTTCCAAGGCTATAAATTGCACAGAAGGAAATTGCTCATCTTCCTCTAAAGTAGCAGCTATTAGATTCGAACCCCCCAGATCTGGAGACTTTGGGTTAACAGCACTACTCTTTACTGACTATGCCGCTGGAGCATTTGACAGAATTTAAAATGACTAGCTCTAGTGGCATAGTGGCAAGAAGCTGTGCTGCAGTCTCAAGGCACACAGTTCAAATCCATCAGCTGTTCTGTAGGAGAAGGATGGAAAGTTTCCTTCTGTGCTATTTACTGCCTCTCAAAATCCACTGAATGGTCAGCTATGACTTGGTTCTGACTCAATGGCACACAACAACAATAACAACAATTCTAAGACAGAAAGAGCAGTTGAGTAGAGACAATGAAGGCAGAATAGTCTTGAGGTGTAGAAAAGAATCACTCTCTTATCAATGATTGTAAGCTGATAAGATATCAAGCCTAGGCTTGCTATCTTTTGTCTAAATTTTTTTTTCTTCATTAAATCCTAGTCTTTAGATATTTCTATACAGAATTCAATGGTGGTAAAAGGAGAGCTTTGGGAATAGTCTTGGAATTTCCCAACTCTTTTCATTTTATGGTAAAGCAGGATGAAATGATGAAATCCTGTTATCTCTCTGCTTAGTAGTTTATGGAGTGGGTAACTCCCAGGACTTTAGGCTTTAGCTCTGGACATGAGATACTGAGGGTGAGGCCCACAGAACATGCTCCATTTCTTGCTGGCCTGTGGTCTAGTTCTAGAGATTGTGAAATCTCTGTGACAGGCTTGCTCTGTACAGCAGAAGTTGGGGAAGAGGCCAGTGAGTCTCCTGTTACACAGCGGGAAATGCTGTGATTAGCTGCTGTGTGTTTCATAAGAATGAAGACTGAAAACCTTCAGACTAGGAAGCTGTAAATTTACTTGGCTTTAGCAAAATTCTGTCCTTACTTTACAAAATTCTGATTTTGATCCACCAAGTTAATTGAACATATTTCTTCCCACAATTTTTAGGGCACACACTCTTGGTTTCCCTGCTAACTCACTAACCTCCTGACTCAGGTTCTTCCCCTCCTTCCAGCTCATAAACATTGGCATAACTTTGCATTTAGCCATTGATGTTCCAGCTCAGTCATTGCCCTTCCACTGGCTGGAGTTTCTTCATGGCACTCATAACTACCCGGAATTGTTTTATTAGTTCTCCAATGTTCTGGTTAGCTCCTTCATATGAAGTCAGAGGTGCTATCTTACTTACTTTGGAACTGTGAAAACCCAGAAAATGTTTGGTATGTAATGTTGTTGTAGTTGTGGACCATAGAGTCAGAACCGACCCATAGCTAACCCTCTGGTGGGTTTTCAAAGGCAGTTAATCACACAGGAGGAGATTGCTTATCTTTCTCCCAGAGAGCAGACAGTGGCCTCAAACCACATGTCTTTGGGATTGCAGCACAGCTTCTTGCTGCTAGGCCACCAGAGCTCATTAAATATTCATTGAATCAATAATGACTGACTGGCAAACTGATGGATGAATGGATGAGTGGATTCAGATGAGGACAACGTCTCTCTATAAATCAAGGGCAAGGGGTAAAGTGTTGTTATTGAAGTGAAGGGAATGAGTTTAGAGAGATTAAGATTTCAATGAGCTCTGGTGGCCTAGTGGTAAGGAGTTGTGCTGCCATACCAAAGACACATGGTTCAAATCTACCAGCTGCTTGCTGACTCAATAGCATACATCAGTAACAACACTATGATTTCAAGACAGTCTGATTATTTAAAGGTGATGTGTTCAGCCGCAACTTCAAGAAACACCATGGGCTTTATTTTTATGAGGCACAAAGGAATGGGTTGGATGATTCTCCAATATAAGCTGTGTCTCTGCCAGCCTGGGTACTGTGCTAACCTGGCTCCTTACCTCACATCAGGCTCAGCGGTGGCAGCATGCAGTGGCAGACGCCCATTTTTATCAGGGATATTGTGCTTGGCCCCATTTCTGAGCAGACTCACACAGCCCTCGAGCCAACCCTGAAACACAAGAGCAACCACATCATTATATAATGCAAACTTGCATAACACATCCCAACACACTTTCTTTATCCTGTCCTTTAACTTTGATTTGGCTAAAAATATGTCTTCTTTGACTCAAAGTTACTAAAGACTGAAACCTCAAATTAGACACCTGGACAGAGGGCCTTGAAGTGTGTATTCCTAAGTTCTCTGGAAGACTCGTGATGGAATACTTGACTTATCAGCTGCAGATCAAGTCCTGCACCTTGCATCCTCTTTCCCCATTTCTAGAGCCGCACAATGGTCTCCTTCCTATAGATCGGTTCCTGCTGAATACATGGCATGTGATAAGAAAATGGAAACCTTGATAAGAGAATGGTAACTGTCCTCTGCCTCTCAGCTTGTGAGTTTAGCTCCAAATCATTCTTCTTGATGGTCTGGCTTAGATTCCATGGTCCAGTTCTGAAAAGTAGGTTTCTATACAGTTCTTGGATTTTTAGGCAACACTGTAAGCTTCCTTTCCTTGTTCCTAGGCACCAAGTGTCTGTTCTAATACATAAAAACATGCCATCTTGCTTATTTTAATCAGTCTCCCCCCATCCAGTACTAACAATCGTAAATCTGAGCCCTACTCCAGTGGCTGGAACCTGTCATCTTGTTGGTTGTTGGCTGGTACATGTGTGCATGCGTTTTTTTCTTTTGGGGTTTGTTTTTTCTTTTTTTTTTTGGTGGTGGTTTGTGGCTTTTTGGGTTGGTTTTTTGTTTGTTTGTTTGTTTGTTTTTTAAAAATAAGCTGACAGTTCAAATGCTTTAACATGGGGCTGTCTCCAGTATCTTCCAAGAGTTTCCCAGAGCTATATACTCACCTATAGTAGGAAGGGAGCTCTGGTGGTCTAGTGGCAAGATGCTGTGCTGCATTGTTCAAATCTACCAGCTTTGTGGGGGAAGGATTGGCAATCTCCTGCTATGCGATTAAATGCCTCTGAAAACCCACTGGAGGGTCAGCTCTGAGTTTGTTCTGATTCGATGACACAACAACAACAATTCCTAAGAAACAATGTGGGCTTCCAGATGCCTGCTCATTTTCCAGCTTGAAAGATGACATTACCAAACACTATGCTTGCTCCTTTTGGGTAAGCACATAAAACTGGGTCACTTTCCCACTATAGTTCCCATACTCTACTCTCTATTCTGTACTTCGTGTGTGTGTGTGTGTGTGCGCGCGCGCTGGGTTTATTTAACTGTGTTTCGTTCATGTACTTTTTTCCCCTCCCTCCCTCTTCCCACCAAACTCTTTGACCCAGTGATTTCCCACCTCCTAATCTTCACTCCTCCTGCCCCCTCCCCTTCCTTTCTTGTATGTTCATACACATCTCACTGGTTTTCTTTCTGTCTTTACAATAATGGTCTTAGATAGTAGTTCTTCTTATGTGCGTGAGTTAGTATTTCTTAAAGTGACTAGTCCAATCTGACTTACATGCTAAGGAGAATTTCGCCTACATTCATTCAGAATTACTTGAGTTACTCACCCAAATACAAATAGATTAAAAATAGATAAAGCTACTATCAAGAAGAAAAATATGATAACTTTCTATTTTGTTCAGTCAGAAGCAGGCTTCCTGCCCGCCTCCACTTGTTTATAATTAAGCCCTGAGATTAGGTTATGTTAAAACAGTAAAATGAGAAAAATTTCCTCTAATGGACTCTTGGAACCAGTAAAAATGAAAATGTTTTAAGCGCTTGGAGAATAAGCAAGATAAGGGAAAAAAACCCAGCTGTTGGTTCTGAAAAATATGGAAAAACCCAACAGCAAAATCATATAGAAATCCTTAAGTCATATACATCTATGACCAATAGATTTTTGACAAGCAGGCTAAACCCATTCAATGGGAAAAGAAAAGTCTCCTTAATAAATGTGTTGTTGTTGTTGTTATGTGCCGTCGAGTCGCTTGCGACTCATAGCA